AAAGACAATAATGCCAAGGAAAGTATAGAAGAAGCTATCAGACCAAATATTAATGTAATTGTGAAAAAGAAAAGCGGGTGAAAATATAACTTGCCGTGAGCAGGAACCGAACCTGCGAGCTTCCAATAACGCGTTCGATGTTCTACCATTGAGCTACCACGACGGCTATCCCCCCAGCCACTTCATTGGATATATATGTGAAGTTAAACGTGGTAGTGTCAGTCAGCGCCTTGAGTTGCCATGGCGGCGAGTGTGGTACACTCGTTATGAGCCTGTTTAACATCATGTAGCACGTGAACTCATTACGAGCTGGCAGCTGACCAATAGTCCATTGTATACAACCTAGTCTGCCACTACTAGACCCTTGTTAATGAGTGAGGGACGGAAGTGTATACATAAGGGCTCGTACAAACGAGCCCTTAAGTATACACTTCTGTCCGAAACGAGCCTTGTGTGTGTGTGTGTGTGTGTGTGTGTGTGTGTGTGTGTGTGTGTGTGTGTGTGTGTGTGTGTGTGTGTGTGTGTGTGTGTGTGTGTGTGTGTGTGTGTGTGTGTGTGTGTGTGTGTGTTTCCGCCCCCTATATGTGAAAATAACTAAAAGGAAAAAGGGGGTAGCCCGTACCACCGGGAGGTATAACGGGCTCAAGCCAATCTAACATAAATGAAGAGGTGAAACTTCCCAAATTTTTATTTTTTTTAAAAAAGCCAATTAGTTAAAAAAACATGGGTAAAATCTAGTGAGTGCGGCATGAAACTGTAATAAATAAACTAGTTAGCTTCTCAGGAATGAGCAGGTCGATATGCAGCAGCAGTGTATTTCCCCAACTTGAGTTTTGGAGTTCGTGTGTGTGTGTGTGTGTGTGTGTGTGTGTGTGTGTGTGTGTGTGTGTGTGTGTGTGTGTGTGTGTGTGTGTGCGCGTGTGTGTGTGTGTGCGCGTGTGCGTGTGCGTGTGCGTGTGTGTGTGTGTGTGTGTGTGTGTGTGTGTGTGTGTGTGTGTGTGTGTGTGTGTGTGTGTGTGTGTGTGTGTGTGTGTGTGTGTGTGTGTGTGTGTGTGCGCGCGCGCACAATGCGGACTACTTAGATGGGCTCCTTCTTTGTGACTTTTTCTCAGTATTACCCTTAACGCGGCAATGCACGCTTTACAGGCAAAATTGACTTGTATTCAGAAGCGTTGGAAGGCTAAAACGTGTTTTGAAGTTTTGTCCGTACGCCAGAAACATTAAGAAACAAATTTCGCAACATTATCCATCTATAAATAGTGTTTCAATCACTGTGAGTATTGACGTGTGCTTACCAGTGATTCATCCCATCACTAGAAACACAAACGTGCTCACGCCTGGTAACGTACGAAAGCACGTGCCCACAACATTGGGGCTTACTCTGTGCATAATTACCTGTGTATGTATACATTTACAAGGTATTCAAATATTACTAGAATGTTTCCGAAAGAAATGCCTTCAGAATATGCTTTTTTCGCAAAGTGAATTTTATGAAAATCGAAATTTATCGAAATCAAATTTTATCGAAATCTTTGCGACGATCATTCGTAGCAAACGTTTCAGTCGGGTATTTTAGTGTTCTTTTTTTCAATCTTCAAGTGCGGCACAACTACCATTCGTTTTTTTTTTTTTTTTTGCTGGAGAAATATGCACCGCTATCCTTTGATACGCATGCTATTCTGGCCCTCAAGTGGACTTCATAAACGCGCTTTTTTTTGTGATTCTCTTGGCTTTCACGGCTTTAAGAGTTTCTCCGTGTTTACTCATTAAAGCAACTCTTACGTTCACTAAACATTCCTATTCCTCCTTTTGAAGCAGCTGCATTGAAACAGCACTGCACTCTTCTAAAAGCTATGCTTAAGCTCCAGGAAGTATTTAGCCTAAATAAGACACAACAACGACACCGTAGCAATGTTCTGCGCAGTAGAAGCTAACCTGCGTCGACAGAAGCCAAACGCGCATTTTGTGTGAGCACGGTACTCACACAAAAAGTAACAATTGTGACATTTGTTCGAGCTTGTCCTGTGTATACTTGTGCGTTCGTCTCGAGCGTCTTTTTTTGTGTGTGTGTTTAAACAAAGCGCTTTAGGTTGCAAGCTGTGGCAGTTGTTAGGTGGCGCTCGTCCCGTACATTCCCGTTTCGTGCGTGTTTTCTGCTTGAGTAGCGCGCTGCAAGTTTAGAGATGCTTGCCGTTTTTCGCGTGACTTAGCAATCTGTTACTGTAGCATTTATTCCTACGCCCCCGTGGCGAAACGATGCTCAAACATCTGTGAAGGCACGTTTCACTTTCATATTATACCGATTCTTAGAATGAGAGATCAGCCACATTCTTTGTCTGTGTTTTCTTTTTTGTTCTCATTCATTGGTTCAGAGCTCACGAGCTCTTATCTATGGCACCGTGTGCTATCTTCTACCCACCACAATGAAAATATACGCCTGAAGACACGCGAGCTTAAAGGAGTTTTTATTATTAAAAGAAATGGTCTATACTGCGTGAACGCACCGTCAAAAATGCTGTACAAACATGAAGTGTCCTTTTTCGAAGCACTTGGTTGAAGTAATCCCTCGAATTAGGTGGAATACCGGCCACGCATGACCGAGAAACGGAAAAATGTTCTCTTTAATGGGTGGTACTGTACTGTGTGTTTGTAGATTTTGTTGCTGTCATTTTTGCCAAATTTGTTTCATGTTCATGTTACTTTGGCCGTATACACCACGTGTCACTGATCACATTTCCATCTTTGTTGAAGATAAGTCATAACGTAGAACATTTATTGTTTTTGAGAACACAATGTGATAAGTGCTGCAGAAATGTCAACCTAGATGCATTTCTCGTCTTCTTCGAATAACTATCAATTGTTAGTTAGTGTTAGTTCATGTTACTGCTTGTGTTATTCTCATTTTGCCTTATTCCTTCCACTACCAACTAGTCCCACAAAAACTTCTGCAGTTTTCGCGTTTTCTCTGAATCAATTTTTAGCAGTATTATTTCAAGGTCGTGCCTGCTGCCTGGCTCACCTTTATAGTTATCCTTCAAAGTCACCATTCCTCTGGTTATTTTTCTCAGGCCTATCAGGAACGAATTAGAAAGTATGATTCAGGATATTACAATTGTTGACGGCGTGCTGGTACACTGCTTCACTAGACAACACTCAATGCTAAAGGAGAAGGCTGTGATGTACGGTAAATTAGGTTTTTCTAATTACTGTTACAAATACCGAAATTCCGCGATCTTCTCACTGACACCTCTGTAAAGATGCACGCTTAAATTCTAAATTTTAAAGTAATATGATTAATTTTTGCATCGAGTAATAACAAAAGGGGTGCTGATTTGTTCTTTTTTTTGTCAAATTTCCTGGTAACACTGGTCAAATATTCACTAATGCTATCTAATTAGAGCAACTGTGGATCTGGAGATCACGTTGCTGATGCTACAGCATCAATCTTGGCGTTCGGTCGCTCATAATGATTGGTCGCTTATATGAATTATGAGACTTCTTCATGGAACTTGGAAATACACACCAGTACGATGCCACTGTTCGGAAGAAACCTTGTCTTTTGCGAAACCTTTAGTTCAATACTTTCATTTGTACAATACTGCTTTGATACAGTACTGCCATTCTTGCTTATTTCCTTGAATTAGATTTTCCTGCCCTCATAGGACAGTACTTTACTAAACTTTATTTCTGTGCTGTCTGTCAATTTGCAATATGTCTTCTCAAAATAACTGCTTTTCTCTTCTTTTTTTTTGGTCTTTCAAAACAGGATTGGACGTAACAAGGCCACAGCTGTGTCAAGAGCTCCGCCGTGGAAGGAGACGGACAAGTGGAAATATTTACAACGAGCAGAGCACGGGACAATGAAGACTACAAAATACCACATCTTGTTTTATTGTGTGATGGTTCTCACGTAGCACGGTGTGCTTTAAAAAAGTGGGACTCACTGTCTTCTTCTTTGTTACGCATTGTCATTGACATGTGGCAGTCAACGTGAATCACCTCACGACGCCACCTACGTGCTTTAACCCTTTTCAGCACCTAATGGTACGACAGTGTGTGCACTACGTTCTTCAAACAAAAGAACGTGATCCCCACCAGCACATGAACAACTCGCCTTTCGTCTCGGCACATTCTACTAACCGGCGGGAAATTCTGTAATAGTCGCTTCGTTTGCAAAACGGAAACCTGACCTTGCAGGCCTTTTCCGTCCTGTTGCCTTTTTTTCTCCGTGACCACGGCAAACATCCTCCGCATACTCATATCACCGTTTGCGCACCTCTTCTTCCTAATGGAACGCAAGCTCTACACTTATGCAAGATTTTTCGCGCCACCGAAGAACGACCACTTCACCTGAAGCCGTCTTGGAAGACCTCCGCGCTGCCACTCCTGTGTACTTTAGCTTGTTTGTCAAGAAGACTTGCAGCACCTGCAATGACTGCCACTTCGGCAACTGATTAACTGCAAGATCACCCTCGGACAAGCCCTCATCGGTGGCTCGGCCACATAAACAGGCTTCCATGCCCGCAGACAGTCGGCCCTTCCACTCCTACGATGTGCACTCTCCTTCAATCAAGACACGAGTGTTAGTCTTTCACCAGGTTACACAAAGCACTCCATTCCTCTCAATTCAAGCCTTCAGACGATAGTTTTCAAGTTCAATTGACCCGCTTACACCCAAAATGCCTTCTGAACTCAACCCACGGAGACCACAAGAAGCGACAAGTCGGGATGTGCCCTGGCAACCTGTTTGATTAGAAAGGCATCTTTAAGCGGCCCCTTTTCCCGAACACGTTGTGTCCTTGTAGTTAACCTGTTCGTTTTGTTCTGGGGAGGAAGCCTTTGTAAAGTGTGTCGCTCTGTGCGGAACAGTTTCGTGTGGTGCTCCTGGGTCGCTGCGGTCCCACTTACCATGACCTGAAGTGGGATACGTTGGTCAAGCCCGACACAGCCAGCCCTCCCTTGGTGGTGCGCGCTCGGCCGAGACGTGACCTGGCGGAGCCATGCCTGCGCGAAAGGGCTTGCTCGCACCCCAGAACACATTCCTGGACACCATCGCAACCAGGTTTGATGGAACTCGTGAGTACCTCGTTCATCTCCTCTACTCCACCTTTCGGCGCATATTTACTGCTTCCGGTTCTGGGAAAAGTAAAACGCCAAGAAACATTAGGCATATATATGTATGTGTGTGTCTACTTTCGCGTTTCAGTTTTCTCAAAAGCATAAACTATCTCCCCTGATATCCAGTTTTGCGAGGCATCTTCGGTTCACTTTCATCAACCTCGCTTCGCTAGTAGTTTCACTAACACGCACAACATGTCCCATAGCGACCCTAGAAACAACCATACCAAGAAAGGCAGTAAAGGTTAATGTGTGTGTTTTCACGCAAATATAGCCTAAATTCTTCTTAAAGGCGTTCGATTGAGCCAAGTTCACCAAGACAACTACTTTGCAAGCCAACCATCAATTTAGGCAAGACTACAGTTATCTGTTTTTTTTTTCAATACAGGCATCTGCAATGGTAATGTTGTCTGTTTTTGCTCGCACATAAGGTAACTCGAAAAGACGTAATCTCGCGCGCATTGCAGGCCGCGGTGTCCAAAGGGATCCCCGCTGACCTCCTCTAAGCAGCGTAACCGACCTCTCGGCCCAGTCCCCTCTTTTGGGAGTAATAAAGTTTTGATCATCATCATCATCGAAAAGACGTATACGTCTTTGCAACTATGCGGCTATAGCCGCATAGTTGCACGAGAAGGCCGAGTGCATGAAAAGCTGAGCAATGTTTGCTTTCCTGCTTGGAGGCATTTGTGCCAGTCTTTCATCCCATCCCTCCCTACTATAATCAAAGGCATTTGCTGTTTCGCTCAACCTTTTTCAGGGTCCACCGAGCCATGCTCACACAAAACTTCATACGAGGGTCCGTGTCAACAAACGCTGCAATAGCAGAGCTGTCTTCTGCGTGATGTTGGGACATTACTACTTAGTGGTTTTGTTGTTTTTTTTTTCTTATTTTACGTTAAGCAAAAGCCTCTCAAACCACCCCATGTTTGGAAATAATCGATATCCAACGAAACTGCACAAATATCTATCGCACCTCGTGTTCGAGAGACGATAACTCGCACGTTCAAGCCACTGAAAATTAAAAAAAAATAAAAATAAAGGCGTATAAGCTCTGAGGAAGCAGCTTGCTTCCTTAAATCCTCCAGTTTCCCCTCGAATACTCACTTTTCACCCCTTTCAGCGGTCCCCCCTTTGCGCAGCCGTGCGCGCGCCTGTTTGCAGCAGCCGTCGCGTCTCGGCAAGTACGCGACAGGAGCGGAAGAAAGAGAAAACGCGGGCCGCGACCCAAGGACGCGCGAAATCCCACAGCGCAGTGCGGCACTCGACGAAGCTCCGGCTTAGGCCTGTAGCCGGGGCAAGGCCACGTTCCGAATACCCGAGGGAAGTCCCCCTTTTATTCCGGCGAAGTCATCGCCTCTCAAGGCCGAGGACAGACACAAAACGTATGGTTTAAATACAGCAGATAAAACTGAATGTCGCTGAAGCAGTTGACACTCCTAAAGAGGAGCGATTCACTAGAATGCTTGCATCCTTTGTAGAGCGTACGTTTACGTGTAGCGTGCGTTGTTTTACGGTGTAATATCGTAGCGGACACAGCTGTTACCTAGCACAACAATGACGGTAACATTGATGGTTGCGCATATTCTATTCGTCATATTATTGTCTCCCTGTTAAAAAAAGGGAGGGGGGGAGGATTATGTTCCTGAAATCATCTCTGGCGGTCTAAAATTCCTCAGTGGCAGTGCACGGAAGAAGATAAACTGATCATCCTAATGATCAAACGCAACCTAATGAACCCAATTTGTAGTCTTTGACTGTAGTGTAGTAAGTCTATATATCGATGTACAGATAAAGTGTGTGAAAAGATGGCTTCCCGGCTGTAAAGGCCAAACCTACAGTATTTGGATCAGAAGGTTCACCTTCGCATCACTCGCCATTATTCGGCAACATTGGTAACCATTAGCACTAATTTAACCAACACTCACCAGTACTAGCCGACAATAGCCAATATCTTGCCACATAAGTAACGTTAGCTTCACTTCTCAATGCAGCTTTAGAGAACATCATTTCAACACACCTAACAATACAGTGTCTTCAAAAATGCAAGAGTCAGCGCTCATCCACGTTATGCTGTTTGCCCTTAACTTCAGCTTACATGATCTGGTCTTTCCTACAGCTGTGTTTTTACGGCATCTGCATTTAGAGTAAGACTTAAACAGTGGCGAACTATTGTCTGAATCACGCTTTCGTAATATATAAATTTTGGTAATTGGCATCTGCGTAATTAGTTCCTGTCTTTCTTTTTCTGTAGAACAAACAAAAAGTAGTCGATATGCTCTTTCTCTTCATCCTGTCGCATCAACGCCTTTATAACTGGAAAAAAAAACACATTAAACATGGGAGACAAAGCGGAGGGAGAGGACGTCAAATGAAGGGTGGAAGTGTGACAAGGAGCTCTTTTTTATTTTTTTATTTTTTATTATTTCTTTAACGTTCCGGATCGGCCTTAATCGATGTTCTCCAGACATGGTGATTTTTTTTTTCGATCCTGCGCTTCGTTAAAGAAAGGCAAGCGGTACAAAACGAAAACTGCCATCAGTTTAGCCGTACTTTTTTGCCCCAGGCCTAATGGATTCACCGAACAGCAGGACGGTACAAGGAGAACATCTGGAAAAAAAGTTTAATCCGAAGGAAGGAAGCGCACACGACTATAACTCGTCGATCAGAACCTGTTAATGCGAATGCCTTGCACTGTGTCACGTTTGGTGTACTCTTTCTGTTGAATTCTTTCTATTTTCTTTTAACTCTGCGATACGACATTCGTTTCAGTTATCTTTTCTTTGGTCATTTGTCCCTCATTCGCGGTGTCGTTCGTTACATTTGTGCTAGATATATAATTCGTATTTGTTGTAGTTCTTACATCTTGCAAGACTTAATTCGCGATTAGCTCCGAGCGACAGGCAAGATGAGATGGAGAGAAAGAAATAAACTTCGTTTATGAAAGGCTACTATACTCGTTAGAACATGGATGTTCAATTCACGTTTTATAACGCATAAGCAAAAAAAAACAATATAAATATTCACTGATTATAAAACTCATTTTACTCGTATTAGATTAAATAACTCGTCTACGCTGCATGAAACTCAACTCTTCACGTGAATATGCTCTCCTGTTTAGCAAGAGAAGATTTAAAAAAAAAAAGAACTGTGATGACGCCATTCTAAGGTTCGCGTACGAACTCTCCTTGACGTACGTCACATATTCTGATGGCGCCCGCTAGGGCATTCATTATGATTACTCACAGCAAAATATTCATTGTACTCTGTTATGATAGAGCCAGGAATCTTCCCGCGATAACTTTCAGGAGCTTCCATTGGGCCAACGTAGGCAAAAAAGGGGGGAGGAACTTTGCAATATCTGTGAAAGAGTAAAGATCACTGTTTGTGAGAGCAACGACCAGCGTTTGAGTTTCCGATTCAAAATTTTACAAATATACTTTTGAGCTTGACTTTCTTTAGAAATAGTAACTCTATGACTTCCAAATTAACGACATAAAGCCTCTGAGAGTATTACTGGCAAGGTTAAAGTGATTTACAGATTTACATTAGTTAGTGCCTACTTCGTCTCCACGTCACCTTGTGGATGAGGGCTCCCCGTTTATTTCACCTGTTTGCACTTGTTGGTGCGTTCAGACCATAAGCATCCTTATGTTTCGTTCAACATGAAAAAGGGTCAGCTCTCAGTAACTGAGTCCACGACGCTGTGGTCTGTAGCAGAATGTATCCACAGGAAAAGCCTAGACACGTTCATATATGTTACACCGCCGTGATGAAATAGTCCCAAGCACCACAGAGTGCCACCTTTTGTGGCAAAAAGAAGAAAAATCCCAAAAGTCATCAAATCCAGTGACGTGTATCATCTCTGCGCTAATATTCGTGTCAGCTCTGTGCGAATATTGTGGAATTAATAAATGTCCTACAATTTGAGATGAGGCAACCCATATTGAGTACCTACCAACTTAATTTTTTGCAGTGACTGACAGACGTCTCATCAAGTTAATTATTAATGCAATGAATAATCGGAAACGTATCAATAAGTAGTAATACTAATTACGCTTCTTCCGCCCACTTTTTCAAACGATCTACAGAGGACAAGTTAAAGATTCCACATTTTCGAGAAATAAATACCCTCGACTCCGAGCCTCGGACAGGATACTTGTCCCTTAATTAGAAAAGCGCCGAGTGCCCGGTGTCAATGGACATCGAACTTTGCACCTCCTGCATCGGAGGCGGGCAGCTAATGAGCAGACCAACATTTCAGTTTGTGTGTGCATCCAGGTGGCATGAGAGCGTTCACCTTCCTCTCTTCTCCCCTTTACATCTCGAAGCAGCCTACGAAGAAAATTTTGAGCGTGATTGCCTAAGTGCTGAAAGAAATGTGACACAGCGACGAAAGCAAAGCACCGAGAGACGCACATGAGAGCTTACTACGAGCTCGATTTATCGGTTACGACGCGCACATAAAGATATGTAGGTACTGTCTGTTTCACACTTAGGGGAAATCTTATAGCGCACGGCATCCCGATGCGGCCAGCAATGGTACAGCCAGCGTAGTAGTCACATCAGCTCGCGCGAGCGCAGACGCTTGAGGGGCACTATGATGAATGGTTGTGCCGCGTTCATCGGCTACGACGGAGCGCGCAGGCTGCATTGTCAGGCAGCGGGCGAATTTCTTCGTCGTCATTTCTCATCGCGTCACAGTACGCTTCACTGCCGTCCAAAATGAGCGCTGTCATCGCTGTCGATGGGGACATCACAGGGCATCAGGTGAAGGTGGAAGCTTCACGTGTTAATTTAGGCGCCGGCGAGTGTGTGCTGCCTCAAGTGATAAAATGCCGTCAAGAAGAAGCAAGTTCCGGTCATTATTTTAAGCTACAGCATTCATGAACTCATTCTAGTTTGATTTATTGTGTTGAACCGACATAGCTGCACGACCGTCGCTGTAGAGTGCTTCCTTG